TGATTGTATCTCGCTGGCAGCCAGGACCAGTATGTATGGTTACCAGAAGATACAAGCAGTATCACCTTTTTATTTTATGTTACCTAGTTTGACTGAGCATGAGATCATATCAAGGTTGCAATGGTTGTTTTGATATGGTACTTCCCGTCTTCCCTACCTGGCTTTCTCGACAAACCATTAAGAGGTAATCTGCAAAAAGCATGGCAAGAGAAGTTGAAGTTATGGTAAGAAAGGGAAACTGCAAAAAAGATAGGGATTAAATAGTTGAATTGTGATGCATAGCAGTGTAGGTCAGGGATCACTGAGTCCATTACTACTTAAGGTCATTGTATTGCTTCGATGTAATAGCGAGCTTTCTCATCTTCCTTTCCTGTTTTTCAGATCACTTTTCAGCTTTTATGATGACAGTGACTTGAACAATTCTCAGTCTTATTTTAATGTGTAGAAATGTATCGGTTTGTAATATTTTGAATTTTTTTTCTATGTTTTAGGACAAGGGAGTAGAGTTGTTACCAAATATCTTACAACAACAAGTGAGGACAGGGGAGTTGCCTGAAGTTGTTACTTGTGAGGACACAGCTGACATTTCTTTGAAGCCCAATGCTGAAGCTCAAGAACCTATCTTGACCAGTTTATTGGCTAATCCTCCCACTGATTCTACCCTCGTTCAGCGAGTTGATAATGTTAAACATTCTGTTCTTGATGCTCCACCTGCACTTGGGGGATCATTAAATCTATCTAGCTTTAAAGTTGGGCATTATGGTTCTCCCAGTTCCCCAGCTCATTTCTTTAATGATGCTGAAAGAGTATTAAAACCTGAAAGTATCCTTGGCAAAAAATTGAGATTTGATGAGATTGCGACCCCTGCAAGTCGTCGTATTGATCCTCCCGCTCCTGAGATGAAGATCTCCAGGAATTCATTAAGGGACTCTTCTATTAGTCGCCTTTGCAATTCTCAAACATATAGAGTTTCACCAGAGAAGTCTCAGAATGGGTTTCCGAAGGAATCTTATATTTTTCACCAGATTTCTGGCAACCATGTAAATTCTCTTACCAGCAACAGAGGCATATTAAAAGATTCCGTTGAAGATTCATACATGAATTATCCTGGTAAACGTCTACTGTCAGATGCTGCTGATAGACCTCGGATGTTACCATTAAATGATTCGATGGATATATCCTGGAGGTAAACCTTAATTTTTATAAAGCCCTTCTATTTATATCAGCACATTTTGTTGTCTTAGGTTTGATCACCAATCTTAGCTTTAATCTAATTTTGTTATTTCGCTGATTGTCAACTTAAAAGTCATAAAGAAGAAGGTTCTCCCATAGTGCGTCTAGAAACTAATGGTGGACCAAGGTGGAGGTCCGATGACACCAGTGAAGATGAGGATTATTTATCACCAGATGGACTCGCTGGAGTTGCCTCTCCTGCACGCATATCAAGGGGAGTCAGAAGAAGCAGGATTGCGAGGAGATGATAGACCTTGGTGTTGTAGAGTTTGAGAATGTGACAACATATGTATCCCTTTTGCTGGATGTGGCTTTTCGTTGGAGACCAGAGTTGAGAGGCATTGAAGTTTTTGTTAAACAGGTTGCTGCTTGAATTTCTCCTCTTGGCAATGGTAAACTTGGGTCGGAACTGATTTTTGAAGCTCAGCCCCTCGACGTTTCCTCTTTCGACCCTTGCTCTGGTTTTCATTTGGATGCAGCATATACTTTCAAAGAACAGCCAATGCCTGGGTTGACAATTTTTGTATGTGAGATTAGCGATTTGAGGCTTGGTTGTAAAATATTTATTATTTCCTTTTGAAGCCAGAAATTCTTTGAGAAGCATGTAGATAGATGCGTAAACTGACCATGATATTCTGTATGAGGCTCACCTTCGGCTTTTTGTTTCCATTTTCGTTGTCGAGCAGGTAGGTCTTTTACCACCCCTATGCATTTGGTATCTGACCTTAGGGCACAAATTGAACACTTAAGTCCATTTTGAATCTCGAGAATTGTAGTCTAAGATCGTGTGATTTTCTTACTTCTGGGGAAGTAAACCTTTTTTTTTTTTTTTGTTTCACTTATGTTTACCAGTGTAAAGTGGGTTAATGGACTTGGAACTGAAAAAAGTTTCCATATCAAAGCGATTAAAATGTATTTGTGAATTGATCAACTTTTTTTTATTCTAAATTAGTTATTAATTGAGGAAAATTTCATCATAACTTATTATTTCTATGCTTGCTTTCAATCAAGTACAGCCTATTTCCTTTTCTAAATTCGGTTTTAGAACCTGATTGCAAAGCGCACATCGGTGGAGCTTAGTAGCATAAATAATAAATGTGAGTCATATACTTGCAGTTGTTGAATGGTCAACTTCTGTATTCTTTTTTGGTCTTTCTATTTTAATTAATAAGACTAATCCCTCCTTCTCATAATAATAGTCATGGTTACTAAAAATAGTTGTTTCAAATTATTTATCATTTTAGAATTTTAAGATAAAATTGATAGTTTTGTTCCTTTTTTACCCTTAGTAATAATTGTTCTTGAAGATAGAGGTAATACATAAGTAAAATAAATATTCAAAGAAGAGAGATTATATCTTAAGACATAAATAAGGGTAGAATAATCTAATCTTTTTTCTAATTAATATATTTCTTAAGGGACGTGTAAAAAAAAATACAATACATAATATGAGATGGAGGAAGTACCGTTTATTGGTTCGAAGGCACACGTTAGAAACTTAAATAATTCATTATGCTATCCAGCTGAAGCACTGCTTTGATAATTAGACCACGTGAATTATGCTCACTCTTTTTTTTATTGAAGTACTGTTAATTAGGTGTATCAAGTCACCGGTTGATTGGTACTTAGTATTTTCTTATTAGTCCATTCTAAAAAGAATGACACACTTATATATTTGGAAATAATTCAACTTTAAACTTTTTATTTTACTTACTTTACCTTTAATGAGAAGTTTTTATAGCTCTACATAAATGCCATGGAGCTTTTGCCCCTTGAGCTTTTAGGACCATATATTTCAAAAGTCTTTTTTTTTTTCTTAAATTTTCGGCCAAGTCAATCTAGCTTATCTAAATTGAAGGGAAGGGACTAGTGGTCTTAAGGCCACTGCTTCAGGCTTTGGACGTAGTTGTTCTTTTTTAATTATAAGAACTACTGCTAAAGCAACCACGTGAAGTATGCTCACTCTTTTTTATTAGTATATAGAGTATAGTTTATTAGGTGTATCTTTTTTGGTTCAATTATTAGGTGTACGAAGGGAGTACCAAGTCACCAGTTGGTTAGTAAATTAGTCACTATAAATTATACTGGTAGTCTTAAGAGGACTCTGCTTCAGGATTTGTAGTATTTGTTTTAGTGATTTTTCCAAAAATTAAAATAAAAAGGGAGGGAGCTCTGCAACTTCCGATTATTGATCTTAGCTCTACAGATGGCACCTTACCCGCTGATGAGTCCGGAACCAAAATATGGTTTTTTTTTTTACTCAAAATACGCAAATAAGTATTAAAAAGAAGAAGTTACCAAACTATATATAACGCCACAAAAAGTGGCGCTATACAGTAACGGTAACTGCACCGTTACTGTATAGCGCCACTTTTTGTGGCGCTATATTAATTAAAAGCTGACACATGTTACATAGCGCCACTATTAGTGGCGCTATACCCCTTATTAAAAAACCCTCCGTCTTCTTCTTCTTCGTTTCATTCCAACTCCATTATTTTACTCCCTCTTGGTCCCCTCCCCCCCGAATTTCTGATCGATTCTGCCCCATTTTTTTTAAAAAATAAAATATTTGGGTCCCCCCGGCACATAAAAGTTGAAGATTGGTGGTCCCACTGTCGAGTAGAGCTTCGTGTTATCGTGGATTCACTCTTCCGGAGTCAAAATTTCGATCTATTTACATTCCGAAAATTCTAAATCGAGGTATTTCGATTTATTTTAAGTTGAAACTTTTATAACAATGCATATTACTTGATTTGTATGTGTTCTATTTCGGTTTGTGTTTATTTTTTCCGAAACTAGCATGTTAAATTTTATCCGGATTTAATTTTAGTGTTGTATAAAAATATGTAAATTAGTCTAAAAAATGTGTTTGTTAATATCCTCATGTATATTTATGTGTTTTTATGCCGTTTAGTTTAGATTATTTTTTAGCGTAGTAAAATGT